ACAAAGTACCTAAGTATATTGCATTGGGAGAAGACGGTCTCTTCAACAGATGGTGCTGGCAGAATTGGAAATCGATACGCAAAAGACTGAAACAAGACCTTTACATCACACCTTACACAAAAACCAACTCAGCATGGATTAAAGACCTAAATGTGAATCCCAGAATTACAAAGGTCATCAATGAAAAAATAGGGGAAAATGTGAAAGCTGTAATACAGGGCATACACAGACTACCAAATATTTTGAAACTTACACAAACAAAAATAGACAAAATAGATCAATGGGACATACTAAAAATTAAAAACTTGTGTGCATCAAAAGGGTAAAAAGGGAGCCCACAGAATGGGAAAAAATATTTTGCAACGACACATCAAACAAGGGACTAATTTCTAAAATATATAGGAACCTACAACACCTCTACGAGAAAAGGACAATAAAAAAATGGGCACAGGACATGAATAGACATTTCACCTAGGAGGAGATCCAGGCAGCCAACAAACATATGAAGAAATGTTCACAATCACTAGCCATTGTTGTTGTTGTTATGTGCCGGAGTCAGTTCTGACTCATAGCGACCCTGTACAGGGTTTCCGAAGCTGTAAATCTTTACGGGAGCAGAAAACCTCATCTTTCTCCCGTGGAACAGCTGGTAATTTCGAACTGATGACCGTGAGATTAGCAGCCTGATTCGTAACTACTACGCTACCAGAGCTCCTCAGAGAAATGCAAATAAAAACAACAGTGAGATATCATCTCACACCAGCAATAATAGCAAAGATTAAAAAAGTAGAGGACAATAAGTGTTGGTGAGGATGTGGAGAGACTGGGACCCTCCTACATAGTTGGTGGGATTGCAAAATGGTCCAACCACTATGAAAACAAATATGGCACTTCCTCAGAAGGTTCGAAATAGAGATACCTTATGATTCAGCAAATTCCTCTACTTGGTATTTATCCACAAGAAATACGAGTCATAACGAAAGTAGATATATGCACACCAATGTTCATAGTAGCACTATTTACAATAGCAAAAAGTTGGAGACAGCCTAAGTGTCCATCTATGTAAGAATGGATAAACAAACTTTGGTACATACACACAAAGGAACATTACGTACCCTGAAGAATAACAAGGAAGCAGCAAGCCACGGCATAACATGGATGAACCTTGAGGACATTATTGTGAGTGAAATCAGTCAGTCACAAAAGAAGAAATACGGCATAGAGCCATTATTTTTGTAAAAAATTAAGAAAAAGTACCCACACTGAAAAGGGGGGAAAATTATCTTTT